AGTGAGCCAAGAATGACAGCCTTCTGCATCTGTGCGGCTAAGATTTCTGCCTTAGTGCGGCAAGCCGGTATGATTTTGAGATTCGAGAGTAGAGAAGACATCATTCCACCAAGGACTCCAATAATCAGAACAACCATCTTGACAGAGTGATCTGGATAGAATCTGCGCAGTTCGAAGAGAAAATCTCGATATTTTATCCGTTTTTCCTCCTCTTTTCTGTCGATATTCGTCTCGCCAGGAGCTGAAAGCTCCACGACAAATATCGTTTTGGTCTGGTGGTCGAGAAGGACTACATCAGGGTATTATTATTATTATTGTTATTATTATTATTATCATTCCAAATTTCAATTTTTTGAGTTAACCCGTTCAGAAAATAAAAAAGGGAATATTAAAGAAATGCACTGTATATAGTCACAGGCGGTGGACCTTTAGGTGAGTTAGGATACAGCCTACATTGCCAGATTTTTTGAGCGGCAAGAAGAGAAAAAAAACCGACAAATATTGATTTTTCTTTTATTTCACTCACAGATTATAACATTCCCAATTGAAGTTGGTGATAGTTTTCGATTCTAATTCGTTCATTGCTTTATGATGACACAAAAGAGAGCTTTATTATCTATTGAACAAGATCTGGCATGAAAAGTTGATTTCAATGAAGTTGTGAGATCATTTTCAAAACGAAAGGTTTCAATACAGATTAAAATGAATTTGTTTTTAAGGAAACATAGAAAACAGTACAATCTAGTCACTTTTTATACTTGTTTCCTTATAACAGTCAGTTAGTTTGGCGCATGTTTGACAATATAGTCGATCATCACCTGTTAAAAATTTATATTTTAAGTTGGGGCGAAATACTTGGTTTTCGTCAGTCGTCTGTAGTGAAATTTGGAGTTTGTGCATAGAATTTTGGAAATAGGTGAATTTTATGAAAGAAAAAATCTTGAAGGAGACTGAAATAGTTCATCTGACAATTTAGTAGCCTTCAAGTAGTCCATAACACAATTTGCATATTATTTCGGTAGTTTTTTCTGTTTCAAATAAAAGATGGTGGTGGTAGGAATTTATCCATCTATAAAAAGGAGATTCAAGCACGTTTGAAATATTTTCGGGCAGTCAAAATTTTATTCATTTCAGGTATGCGATTTGGTCAGATGCAAGTGAAGTTAGGCTTATTGACCATATTGAGGAAATACCAGGTATACCCTAGTCCTAAGACAAGTCTTCCATTGGAAATAGACCCTGACACATTTGTACTACATACCAAACAACCCATTTATTTGAAGTTGAAAAAATTATAAGAATTTCTTGTAATATATTCAAAGTTGAATTTAACTGTGTATTTGTTGAAGTGACATAAAATAGACAAGAATAAAAATGATTCGAATATGAAATGTTCAGAGTTAAAAAAGAACTTTCAGGTACATATATCTACGTTATATGGTAATTTCTTTATACAATGAATACTATTTCCCGAGATTTTTCGAAATAAGAGTACTTTACAACTATCTCAAAATCAAATATTTGAAGGCTCCTCGTATATTACGTGTGTTTTACTGTATTTTGTTGATGCATGCTTAATTTTAGGGAATGCATAAATTTTATCAGGAATAACACTTTGTCGAAAAACACTTAATATAAATAAATTTCCCATATGGTGCATACTTTGGGGATGACACTGTAGATCACCAGCCAGGAAAGGATTAGTAATCCTGATGTCATTTCGGATATCATTTGCCACTGAATTGATCCATTAGTGAGACGATAACCGGTTGGATTGGCGTGGGTTGTTGATCTACTCAATAAATCGACCGCTGTGTGAACCAGTGGTCCGAACCGCAAGGCCGGACGATCGATTTTCACTTCCTATCGTCAAATCCGTGCTAGGAAGCACACGTTGAAATATGATACATCGTTAATCCCTATCTCGCACAAGTTTCGTAGTTGTCGTTCGTAGGGGGGGGACAGCTGGTTAACGGAAAAGCAATTTTTTTAAATAGATTTCGACAAATATTGGTAGAAAAACTGTTATAGCAGCCAATTCGAATATATTTAATAGCAATTCATTTCTCTGTTATAGTGGTGAATACTAAGTTTGTGAACATCCCCTACTATTGAATACATAAAATTGTGTGGTTTGGAAAAGTTTTCGCGGTCAGCAATTTGATGATCTGAAATCCGGGTTGAACCGCGTCTGGTATTCTTAATCTGTTTAGAATCTGTTTTTCCGTTAATCAGCTATCGCCCCCATACGAACGACAACTCTCAGAAGTTGAGAAACTTGTGCGAGCTAAGGACTAACGAGGTCTTACCTTTTAACGTGTGATTCCTAACACGGTTGCAGAATCATTCCAGCTTCAACCAGATAAATTCTCCCGAGAAAAATATCTGGTAGAGGCGGAAATCGAACCCACGGTCTTCCGATCGTGAGTCGGGCGCACTACCACCGCGGCNTCATCTTTCCCTCCAACCGATTTGGTAGTAGGAACGGGGTTGTGACGTGCAGAAGCGAGGTGTGCAATGTTGTGAGATGTCACAGGTTTATGAGACTCATTGACGGCCACAATAGATTTGAGGGACTTGACGAACTCCAATTCGCCCTTCGCCAAGACGACTATTTTTAAACCCAAATCCAAAGACCCAACTCAGCAAAGTCGTACCCCACATCCCAAACAGCCCGATGAACAGACGGTCCACCAAAAAGCTTTTCTTATCCATATTCCTGGAGTTACCGACAAAGTGAGCCGAATTCTGACGGGGTACTATATAAGAACAGTATTCACGATAACCAATGCGGTACAGGGCATATACGAAATACCATGTTCTCCTGCTCCAGAACTTACATCCTCCAAATGAACAGAAGGGTCTCCAACAAGGCCTATGCATATGAGCTTGCTCTCCGTTAATCAGATCGAGTCTTATCCCTCTTTAAACATCACACAAACATCGACACAGTGTACATCGGCTCCAAATGAAAGCAATTTTAAGTGGTTAACTATCATAAGAAAAAATTAAAAGTGATAACATTTAATTGTTCCAACTATCCTAGGGAACAGTGAGTACAAAATTTATATGATCTCAAGTGAACCTAAGATAATAATCCTATTTATCTATTCGTATATGATATAAGGTTCAAATTGGAACCACAAATCTTTATCTGAATATAAAAACTAAGAGAGATATAAATGCCGTCGAACTGTTTTTCTTGCAAAAAAGAGGTACATTCCAACAAACAAATAAAATGTGACAACTGCGAAGACATTTTTCATTACCTACGATTGCACAAATTTGTCCAAACTAGAGATAAATCTCCTAAAAAGTCAGGAAAAGAGAAGTTTGAGATTCTCATGCTCCCGTTGTGATAATCTTGCAAAACCCAGAAACCAACCAAAACATTGATGCCAGACGTGGAAGCCTACATTCCTATACCAAATCTATTGTCACCGAAACAACCCTCCAAGCTAGGATAATCCGCAAAGCTGAAACGATATGATACCAGATTCCGAGAGAGAGAGAGACAAGCTCAGAGGTCAACCAAGCAGAACTAACGTCCACCTTCAAGAGTCGCTGTCGGGCGGCTCGGGTAAGTATAATGTTTTTTAAACTGATAACAAACACTTCCTTTTCAGGTTCATCGAGGAACACTCGACCGCGATCTCTTTTTGAACAATAGTCTCCGGTTAGTTTTTGGGGGACCCCATGCAAAAATTCAGTTAGGAAAGCCAAGATAAAACAAAACACTCGACCAGAAAGTAAAAGCCATCTTACCTACTAAAGTAGGAAGTGCCCATCAGCAAGTTGAGAACTGCTTCGGAGGAGCGGGGGTGGATGGACGAGATGGAATGTCCTACACACAGTAACAGTGTGGGGAAGATTTCAACACAGGGCACTCAACTCGGAAGAGGCATTGTGGGGTTGACCCACAAGTTGGCTTCAAAGAACAACTAAAAACACCGGACGCTGTTTTACACGGACTTGAGATTATCATTATACATTGTTACACACTTAAGATGACGACACCCCTGTATTTTTGAAAGCAGATAATTGATTTCTGGAATAGGCATAGACCTTCACGGGTCGCACTTTGCGCAATACTTAGCCCAAGTGACAGCCTCAAACTCAGCCTACTGCGTTCCTGCCAAAAGTAGAAACTCTCGATATTTTGTTTTGCGTTGATGATAATAAAAATAAGTTCGAGGTGGAATTCATGAAGTTTCTTGTGAAGTCACAGAAGTTGAGGATACAATTTAGATATTCAACGAAAAGGTTATATTGTGTTGCGGAAGAAAACAAAAAATTCCAAAACTTGACGAAATAAAACATTTTGTTTAACTGATCATCAACTACTATTTCGAAATATAGCTTCAAGTATCTACTTATCATTTTCAAATTCGAATAATTACATACTTTCGAATAATGATGATATATTGCGGATGATATAAACTTTGCGAGCATAAAAAATCTAAGAAATGTAATTGAGGGGACTCATTAAATTGAAATTAACGTAATGACTGATAGCTTGAATTATTTTACTTGAAGTCCATGCAAATATAATTTCATTTGAAGTACCAACCTACTCAAAGTGCTAGTCATGGAATCCTCATAATTATATGGTACATAATAATAGTTGTGCATTGAAAAGACTTTTTTTATAAACAATAGTCAATAATTAAATAAATAATAGGAATAGAACTTGAATGAAAAGCTTAAATTGTTAATGAATTGTTAATAAACAAAAATTACTTGAGGCATTTTTATCATATCTGCGATAGTTTGAGAGTTATTATAATTTTAAAAACAAAAGAGCGAATGAAAAAGACAAGTTTCAAGGCATTATAATATTAAAAGCTATACAGGGTGTAACTGAATAAGTTTAAAATATTTAAGGAGGTGATTCCTCATCGAAAAAAAGATAGAATTTTTCATATAAAAAAAATTCATTGGAGCATCCCTTGTTAAGATACAGCCCCGTAAAGGGGGTTCATAAAATTTGTATAACAATTTTTTTCACAAGCACT